ATCTACTAATTACCTGAATACTCATCAACTATTAGTCAATCTGTATATCAATATAATAATGAATCAAGCAAAATAAATGGATAAATATTGTGGTTATGTTTAGAGTTTTCAAGGTGTAAAAAATAATGAAGTGAGGATGGTGTCTGACCTCCTCTTGCTTCATAAAACAAAAACAAACAAACAACAACAACAACAAAAACTGCCATTGCTTCAATTTCAACTCATCATGGCTCTATAGGACAGGGTAGACCTGGTCTTTTGCGTTTCCAAAGCTGTATATTTTTATGAAAGAAGAAAGCCTTGTCTTTCTCTGGTGGAGCCACTGGTAGAATCAAATTGCTGACCTTAGTTAGCAGCAAAACATACTACCTAATATACCATCACAGTTCCTCTGACTTCACAAAGGACAAGGAAAATCAGATTGCTCATCAGCATCACGCAAGGCTGATTTCTACCAGGCTGGGATCAGACATGCTCCATCCAACAGCAATCAGTACCTTTTAGCTGGGTTTTATAATTCATTGCAATGGCTAAAAAAAAGATTCACAGATAATAATCATGAGTATGGTGTTTCTTGAGGAAGTTAAAGATTACAAAAGCTCAGGTAAAATTATTCAGACAGTACAGCCCTTTCTCAGCTATGCCCACAGGCAGGTCTCTCTCTGGTCTTTGACCTCTCAGCCACATGGCTCATTGACTTATGCCCTGCAAGTGCAATATTACAAATTTCTTCAGGGGCTACCAATATATGCCCAGAGGGCATGCCACTTCACCATAAACTTCAGCCCAAAGGCACTCAGCTTTACTTGCTCCTTGGACTGGGACGTCCACGACTCTGTCTCATGCTCTGATTTGTAGTTCTGTCTGTTGCTGCTATTCTTCTATTATCACAACTGTCTCCTGCCTGGATCAAGGAGTCTTGGAGTTCAAAAGACATGTTCCACTCCTGGTTCTTCTCTCTTGCTGATAGTAAGATCTCTACTTCGCACTTTGGGATGGTTCATTTTATACCAGCAGGATGACAATCATACTTAACCCTGTTGACAACCATTCACAACCAAATCCTATCAAAATCTTCCTTCACATTCTCTTATCCAGACCCATCACAAGAGAGTCATCTGATGGGAGTAATTCACAGAAACCATTAATCCAGTTACTGTCTCTCTAAATTTATATATCCTGGATTTCTTATACAGAAAAAAAACCAAAAAAAAAAGTGAACCAAAAAAACTACCAATATCAAAATAAAACAGAGAAAAACCTCAATCAAAAAGAAAGCAGAAAAAATATTTAAAATGGGTCAAAGGAAGATCAAGTGATAAAGTGTTAAATTTTAACCCAACTGCATCTACAATAATCCCTTGCATTCTGCATGAAAGCAAGGCTATTCACATCCCTGGCTCATGGTCAGAGGGGATTTACTAGAGGCTTAATCCAGTTGTATGTCCCCATACTGCCCCCACTTCAGAGCCTTTGTTTATGCTAAGCCTCCTGCCAGGAAAAAAAAATCTCTCACTGTCTTTGCTTCACTAGACTTCTACACATTCTTCAGATCTTACTTGAAATGCCATTTCCCTCAGAAAAACATCCAGTCCATGCCTAACAAGACTAGACCGGTCTCCCTGTCATTGACCCTGATGTTCTTGCTGTTGCTGTTAGTTTCCCACTCAGAGTGACCCTACAGAGTGAAACGTTGTCTGGTCCTGAGCCATCCCCAGAGTATTGCTGTGTTTGATCTTCGTGTTGCAACCATCATGTCAATCTGTCTTGCTGAGTGTCTAACTATTTTTCGCTGACCTTCTACCAAGGATGATATCCTTCTCCAGGGACTAATCCCTCCTGATAACATGTCCAAAATACATGACAGCAAGTACATGATGCCAAGGAGTCTCTGGCTGTACATCATCCAAGACATATTTGTTTATTTTTCGGACAGCAATGGGTGATTTCAATATTCTTTGATTTAACTGTATCAGTTCTCCTATAGTCACCCTCCCTAATAGAACTCATTAATTTTCTTTATAGAAATTTAAAGTAATTCAGTAAGGAAAATTATTTAAATGAACAAAACTTTAAATATTATAAAATAACTAGAAATTAATATA